GAACACAGAGATTACAAAAATAATACCCTCCCCTCACATTGCAAAAGTCATCCCAATACCAACGAAACACTGATTCAGAGCACTGAGATCAGAGCAACTGCCATGAACAGAAATTAAGACTCAGCCCAAACAGCAGAGCTCATGAAGCGTTCAGTGTGAGAGGGGAAAGGACTCAGCGCAGAACAAGAGCGCGCTTGTTTGTGACACAAATACCTTCAATGCCTTTCATTCTGCACAACAAACAAGGAAAGGTGTTGCTGGAAAAAATAAAACAATGCACACAACATGACTAAAAATATACTCACAAATACACAGGAGGCACAGAGTTATCGTTGTACTTGTTAACTTTGATACTATCCAGTAGCTGAGTGTCTGATTTTTCAGTCTCAGAACAGCACAGCGCATGTCATACCTTCACAGCTCAAACCAAGGCATTTTCAAGCCTTCCTACAACGCATCTCCTCTCCGCAGAATGAAAGTGAAGCATTTCACAGTAAAAATTATCTACTGTGAAAATGAAATAAAAATAAAATGGCTGACTCCAAGCCATCTCTGTCTTTGTGGTATCCAAGCATGGTTAACTCTGAACAAAACCTGCTCTTTGGGAAAGGCACCAAGAAAGATCCACAGCTCCAGAAATACACACTCAAATCTTTCAGACAGTCACCTCCTCTCACTTCATTCATCTTCATGCCAGCCCAAAGCAAACACTGCAGTTCTTCACTGTACCACAGGTGCTTGGGTTGCTTGTCAGGCTTCGGACACAGCAGTGCATGACAGTAACAGTGCGTGCTGGTTGGTGACACATTGCATCCGTTGCCTCATTCAGTGAACTTCAAGCTCAAAGCACTAAAAAACAGCTGCTCTGTTCTTCCTTGAGCACTAAGAAAACAAAGACCAAAATGTACCAGTGGTACAACTCATCCTAATCTTGCCAATAGTGATGTTGAAAAATGAGAAGATTAAGTGTTTGTATTTAGTTTGCCTAACAATAGGTGAGCTGCTTTCCATTTAGAATGACACTGACATGAGAAATGGGAGGACAACTGCTGCAGAACACAGTTCTTGCTCTCTATGAGAAGAAAATGAATGTGTGAATGCCCTGCTCCACCTTAGCAGGACCTCAGGCTAAACAGCCTAAGTGCTGAAACACATTTACTTCTTCTCTTTGGGCTAAATCTAGGGAACTCTTGTGAAGATAAGGAGGGCAGAGCTGCTGTTGCAGCATAATGCAATCCCCCTAGAAGTTACAAGATCACAGCGAGCAAGGCTTCGAGCCTTCCTGAGGATGACTGCCAGCCTTCACCCAACAACCACCAGACAGAGCCCAGAGAGCCCTCCCATCATTTTGGAGCAACGTGCAAGAGGGTGGAGCAGTTCAAGCTCCCGGGAACTCAATGCGTATGTAATCCATTTTGGGGACATGTGATGATGAAAATGCACACGCTTTGCCTTTACACGTACAGCTGTGTGCCCGCTTGCTGCGCATCCCCATGCACCAGGCACTGTGTTAAAGGAATACCTGTCTGATACAACTCATGGCCAAGTTACTCTGTCGGATTTCTTGGCTTCAACGTGAAATGATGCTTAGTGAGCAAACAAACCCAGAGCTGAAGGAAGTACCAGGTTTCTGTAGCATGCAGAAGCTGGCCAAGCTTATAAAAGCCGGTGAAAGCCCGGCCACGAGCACCTCATGCCTTAAAAACAAGTCGGATCCGCCCAATTTCTCTTTCAATTTACAAATTGCGCGGATCCTTCTTTCGATCCCCGGCAAGGAGCGGCCCGTCGGACACACCCGCACGGCTGCAGCCAGGCACAGCGGCCACCCCTCCAGGCCCACGCTCCGCTCCCGCCGCACCGCGGCTCCCGGCGCCGTCAGCGCCCCCCCCGCCGGGCCCGGACCCGCGCCGCCCCCATCACCTTCCTGGCGTTCCTGACCGCCCTCCCTCCCGAGGCGGCCGGCACGCAGCGACACCCGGCTGAGCGATGCGGGCCCCGCGCGGCCCTTCCGTCCTTCACCCCTCCCGGCCGCGGCTCCTCCCTCGGTCCCGCTTATCCCCGCCGCGGCCTGCTACCTGAGCGCGCGGCAAGCTCGGCGCCCGCCTCCGTCCAGCAGCCCGAGGCCAGGCTGCCGCGGGGCCGGCAGGAAGCGGCTGCGGCGCGGCCGGCGCCGGGGGAGGAGCGCGGAACTCGGGGTGACCCCGCGCGGCGCGGCCGCGGAAGGGGAAGGCGGCGAGGAAGGAAGGGAGCTGCGGCCGGGAATGGGCTCGGCCTTGCTTTCCCCGTGGCGAAATGCTTAGCCCGGGGTAGGCATTAGGGATCGTTCCTCCGCCGCGTCCTAGCGACGAACCCAGCCGGCGGCCAGGGGGAACCGCGCAGGAGCTTAGCAACGGCCCTCTGGATATTATAAGGATGGCAGCGTCTCCTGCGGTGTTCTCAGCTCCCGGCCCCGGCCGGACTATTAGAAAAAAAGAGGAAGGCTCTGTGTCACAGAATACGATTAAATCATAGAATCACGGAATTGTTTCAGATGGAAGGGACAATTAAAGGCCGGCTAATCCAATCTGCGTGCACCGAACAGGGACACCTATTGCTACATCGGGTACTCAGAGCCTGGTTCAGCCTGACCTTTGTGTCTTCAAGGATGGGGCATCCATCTCTCTGGGCAACCTGTGCCAGTGCCTCACCACTCTTATTGTAAATAACTTCCTCATGTCCAATTTAAATCTCTCCTCTTTCAGACAGTTTCCTCTTATCCTGTCCCAGCAGACTCTGCTAAAGAGTCCGTCCCGTTTTTTCTTACAGCCCCCTTTTGACAATGAAAGGCCACTCTCAGGTCTCCCCAGAGCCTTCTCTTCTCCAGGCTGAACAGCCCCAGCTCCCAGCCTGTCCTCATAAGGAGGTGTTCCATCCCTTGGATCATTTTTGTGGCCTTCCTCTGGACATACTTCAACCAGGTCCACATCCCTACTGAGGACTCCACATCTGGATGCAGCACTCCAGATGAGGTCTCAACAGCAGAGAGCATAGATGCAGAATCACCTCCTTGCCCTTGTTTTGGATGGAGCCCAGGATACAATTGTCTTTCTGGGCTGTAAGTTCTGACCCCTGAGGGACACCACTTGTCACTGATCTGCATTGGGGCATTGAACCATTGACCACCACTCTCTGCATAAGATCTTACAGCCAGGTCATCCATCGAATAGTCCACCTGTTAGGACTGGTCCAGCCAGCTGCATCTAAGAGCAACTCTGCATCCCTTTAATCTATGTTTATTTCAGTCATTGGTTCAGTAAAGTGCAGCATGCTAGTCTGATACAGCACCATATGTAATGAAACAAGTGATGAGCTGAAGCAGTGCTAAACAGCTGTGTCACATATGGCTCTAGAAATATCACACTGTTTCTTAACGCCAGCACAGTCTTTAAAAAGTTGCTGCCTAATGTTAAAAAAGCTGTTGTTTTCCAAAGATGGATTATTGTGAGGCTTTTGTTTCCCTGTCAACTAAGTCTTTATTATGATTTCATCTCTGATTTAAAGTAAACCATTCCCCCCAACCACTCCACCAGTTCCTCTTTGAGAAGATGAAAATTCAGAATGAGGAAAAGAAAACATAACTTGCAATTTTTGCCTCTTTCCTGTTGTTGCACTGGGGACTTTTTAACCTCCCTGTACTTTATATGATCACATAAAATAACTCTCTGTTTAACAACTCAAAATGTTACAGGTCTATCGGTACTCTTGATTTTTATGATTTGGATGTAAAAGCAAATGTAATTCCTAAAATGAAAAGAACCAAGCTGCCACATACATTTTAAAAAGTAACACCCCAAAATAGCAGCTGTAAGCAGCTTTCCAAAGAACAAAATGAAGAGCAATGAAGCATGCAGAATATGAAAAAGGGCATTTTTATCAATCCGTCCTGAACTGAATAATTAACTCAGAACTCCAGTTAAGGATAAACACTAGTAATTTATTAGGGCTGCACCATCTAGCCTATGAGCCTACATTTTTCCTAAAAGTTACTATACTTAAAATGTGGGAGAACTATCACAAATGTATCCTCTAAGGCTACAAGTGCTGCTCTAAGACACACTACACTCTCCAAGAATTTCTGCCTGTTGAAATTGGAGTTGGCCATTGTAATCACTTGGATCCAGATTTCTTCCTGCATGTAGTTACTAATCAGTACCTGTTTTCCTTACCGAGCATCAGCCTCCACATATGAATCAGCACATCACACAGTCTACCAAACATCCTGTGAGTTTTGGTGTAATAACTATGTTTATAGAGGCCCTATTTTCAGTCTTAGCGATGCAGGAAGACCCACAGCAGTTCCTCCTGCCCCCGTTTACTGCCCGGCTGGCTCCATCTGGTGGCTGTCCGACCACCAGCCATGGGTCCACGATCACAGCGCGCCAAAGGGGAAAAAGTGATCTCGAGTGACAGAAGGGATGGCTCTATTGGCTGAATTCTCTCTTGAAGGATTGTGTATTGTGGAATAACTAATTTTTGCATGTATTTATCCCAATTTCAACATCCAGACCTAATAAATAATTAGAATATGGGATAAACATTCGTATGTGTTTTGTATTCTAGGAATTGGTGGAGTGAGAGCCGTTCAAGGTAGTCCTGCTGTGACTCAGATCCCACCATGGATGTCGCTGTATTCACCACACGATGCTAGGCTCTTAAAAGTAGTGCTGGCATTGCTGTTCATAAGTAGCAGTTCTCTTTGTCTCTTTATCCGCATTCACTGTCTAACTTCCTTCAGTGGGATGTTTTGTGCCCTTTTCCCCTTTAAGTTACTAGGAGTTTTGAAAGCAATCAGGAAAA